TTCGGTAAAGCGTATGTTTAAAATGCCTGTCTGTTTATGAAGGTGGTATCCTTTTAAGCGTGTCTTCCTGGGGAATATCGTTCATCAGGATTCTGATTCCGTGGGGCTGGGGTAGGTCCCAGGAGTCTGCATTTCCAATCAGCTGCCTGGTTTGGGAAACACACTTGGAGGAGTAGGCGGTTAGAACAAGCATGTAAAGAAACATATCCATTTACAATCAGGCAACTTTCGTTTTTATATCATAACCAGCAAAGAAGCTGGCCTCATGGCCTGCTCCCTCCCTCCATGCCTCCACCCCAGCCCTTGGGCTTCCTTGCTTCTGTACCACAGGGCCTTTGCTTTAGCTGTTCTTTCTGCCTGGAGTCTCTTCCCCCAGATACCTTCTGCTTGGCCAACTCCCTCAGCTCCCTCACTTCTTTCCCCAAATCTCACCTCTTAACGAGGCTTGCCCTGACTGCCCTGTTGGATACTGCCCCTGTGCCCCACCACCCTGATCGCTTTCCCCTTCAACCTGCTCAGCTCTTTCTATTATTGTATTAATTGCCTATTTCTGTCTCTCCCTGCTAGAATCTAAGTTCCATGAGGGCAGGGGTCTTTGTCTATTTTCTTCTGTGATATCCTCCCAAGCACCTAGAACAGTGTCTGGCACGTAGTAGATGCACGAGAAAATATGTGTGCATCCTAATGTGACCTTCAAGATGACAGAGCCCAATCCCCTCACTTGGCTGATGAAGAAATGAGCTCTAGGTCTCTGGGCAAGATAGATTTGCCCAAGGTCAAACGAGCTATAGGGATATTGTCCTATTCAGCTAAAGGAATATGACTCAAAAGCAGGACTTGTTTCTATCTGTTAAATTGTAAGCTACCAATTAAATTTTTGTTGTTTGTGTTAGGCCTTTTCTTAAAAGGGATCTGAAGCTGCTGACAAGATTAAAGGTCATATAAAATGGAACAGTTAGAAATCAAAATGGAAGCGATATCATCTAAAGGAAGAGGGAGTTGACATTAACAGGCCCTTGACGGTGGTTAATTACCCTAATGGGGTACAGAATTTGGCTCTGAATTCTTTGGCAGCTGAGCTAAACGGGAAAGCACGTGGGACTGGATGGTGTTCGTTGTCTGTCCTAAGAAAGTCTGAGTGTTCCGCGGGGACGCACTTCCAGGAGGAATTTGAATACAAGCACCGGAGAACTCTGTGTAACGTCCATCGGGCCCCCAATTGGCTAATGTTTACAAAGAACCCAAAGTCCTCATTGAAGAATGCGTTCCTTTTATCTGGGAAGCCTCAGAGCATAATGTTCAGTCACATGATAGCTGGGAACACAGTTCAAGTGAGTTTGGTTCTGATGCTCTACCTGAAAATAAAGACGAAAACTAGAGAATCTAGAAGAAAACAGACAAACACGTCTAGGACTATCTTTTATAAATGTCTGCTGTCTCAGATCTTAGACAAACATTGAACCACAGGCAATTCATGGATTGGATTTTCATATGCTCAACAAATATTTGAGTTTCTACTCTAAATGTAATTCACTTTTCTTTTTCCCCAGAGGGCACCCCCGGCCCAGCTAGCTCTAGGGCAGAGGCCAGGAGGGGAAGCCACTTCTGTGTCTTTAAGGTGCATGAAGTGTTTGCTATGCTGGGGTTTATTCTCTACCCAAAAGAGAGAGGCTGCACCTCCAGCAAATTCACCCCCTCTGGCCACCAGGGTGTTGTCCTCCACCGTCAAGCAGGGACAATTGCTCTGTTTTCTGCTGGTGCCTTTTCAAACCCCAAAGCCTCTGAATCTCCTGTGAGTGAACACTAGCTGATGTATTTTAATAAATGACAATACGTTTTTTTCTTATAACCCCCTTGTCTTTTAAAAACATGTTATTTAAAGATTTCCCAAGGCATATTTTTCTGTCTGGTGCAATTAAAAAAACTTTTTTTTCCGGTGGTAAAATACACATAACCTAAAATTTACCATCTTAAACATTTTTAAGGGTACAGCTCAGTGGTACTAAACACATTCATAATGTTGTGCAACCAACACCACCATCCATCTCCAGAACGTTTTAGCTTGCAAAATGAAACTCTATGCTCATTAAACAAAAACCCCCAGTCCTCCCCTTCTAGCTAGCCCCTGGCAATCACCCTTCTACTTTCTGTTTCTATGATTTTGGTTGTTCTAAGTACCTCATATAAGTGGAATCATACAATATTTGTCTTTTTGCGGCTGGTTTTTTCACTTAGCACAATGTCCTCAAGGTTCAGCCATAATGTAGCAGAATTCTATTCCCTTTTTTTGGTTCTAAATGGAGGTACTGGGGGTCTAACCCAGAACCTCGTGCATGCTAAGCACGAGTGATACCCTCCCCGCTGCTATTGTTGAATTTTAAGACTTCTCTGTATCTTCTGGATATTAATCCCTTATAGACATATGATTTGCAAATATTTAAAGATACTTCTCAAGGCATTGTTTTTCCTGTCTGGTAAACTTTTACACAGAAATCACTGTGACCGTGTCTTCGACTGAGCCCCACCATGCTCTGCCTCTGCCCATCACAGACACATCTTACACACACACAGAATGTTCTTTCTCCACCTGACTTTGGTTCTGCCACATTGACCACCCTGGCTGTGAGAGGGCCCAGGGCTTGAACCTGCAATGTGTCAAGTGGCCTCCTGGTACTGGGTTCTATTCCAGTCAAGCCCTGGGCTCTTGCCTGAATGAGCTGGATTCCTCTGCATGGATTAGTTGCTTCTACCTTGAAATAAGAGACCAGACTGGGTTTGCCAACGAGCCAGCTGTGTGCAAGGCATTGTGGGAGGGGCTGCTATCGTCAAAGGCCGGGTAGGTCAACAGCGGGCTTCTCGTCTCTGTTGGTTGTGTGCGGGCTCCTGCTTCTTTGAGGGGTCGAGGGGTCTGCTCATCTTGGCGTCCTCTGCGCAGCCATGGAACATGCCGACAGCCTCGCACAAACCAGACGCTTGTTGTTTGTTGAATAAACTCTGATAAGCAAAGGTGATACGTTGGAGTGTTAGGAGTCACGCTGCCTTGAGTTTCACTTTTTAATTTAAATATCACATCCCCATATGCCAACACCTCCCACAAAACAGAGAGAAGCACCTGTGTTGGTCTTGGCACAGGATCCGTTCAAGGGCAGGGCCGGGGCATCCTTGTTCTGTAGTGCACCGTGCACGTGTGTGTGTGTGCGCATATGGGTGAGCACATGTGTGTGTCCACGCACATGTCTACTCATGTTTTCTTGTGGACCGAGGGCTGGACAGTCACATCAGCTCAAG